AAATATATATTGTGTGTTGGAGTGGTCCAGACGCTACATTAATGACTCATTACTCGAAGACTGTAGCAAGGAGTGTCAAAAGGTTAGTATCGTCTGATAGAAATGTTTCTATATTTTTAGGGCGGAAAATCTTTGCATTTTAATATTCTCATGCTGAGAAATAGGTGATAAAATGTAAGAAAAATGAGTGTGGTCATAGTGTGGAAATCATTCTTATTTGATGTTGAATATCTCATGAAAGAAAAATTATTTTTTGGTGATGTTCCTCAACATGTGTGCTGTATGTGGATTTTGTGGTGATATCATGAAGGAATCAAAAGTTACAGCGTTTGGAACCAAGATAGCCTTTCTCTTAGTCCTTTACAGTTTTATAAGTGTTGTTTGAAATTTGAAGTAATGCCTCACTCAAGTTTAGTCAAAGCCCCAAACAATTAGACTTGTTTTATTCAACTTGATGAGACCTTTCAAATGACACATGACTACCTGAGCTGTATGATGTTTCTGACATATTAGAGTACATGGCACAAAAACATTTTTCATAAATTATGAAAACATATTTTTCTATTTATCTGCAAATAACTCAGCACTACTTAGGAGTTAATCAAAGTGGCCCATGCATAGTAAAGGTCAGATTTAAGGGGTGTGCCCGAAGCGTGAAGAATCGGGAGACTTTTAATGATGTGTAGTTTTCTATGATATTTGCATGTTATCCAAATTCTATTTGGACGAAATCGCCACATGACAGCTACCTTAGATTTTTTGGCTAAACTACATGCTGCCTGTGCAGTTTTATGTGTGTTAGAAATTCATGAGGGAAATCTTTAGATAAAAATGACATGGACTCTTTTTAATCAGGAGAATCTGCTCTAAATAATGGTGCCTAATCTTCCACGATCTGATCATGTTTTATGAAGTTACAAGTAAAACAGTGACATCAATATAGTATTATTTTCATATGGGTCTGGGGGTGACTTCTTGTACAAAATACAAAACATATTTTGTAAATTATGAATTTTTTTTTGTGTAATTTATCAGCAAATAACTTGCCACTACTTTCGAAGTGGCTACATGCATTGACTCTGAGCTTTCAAATTATATCAATTTTTTTGTTGATCAAGGCAGTGGTTTGAAAAATATGATTAGTA